CCCCCCCCCCCCCCGACACGTTGGTCAAGAGCAGAATAAAAAACCGCCATCGTCGCTCTCTGAGCACACAAAAGCTAGCTTTCCAAAATTGTGTTGTCCTGATGCCCCCCGATGCTTGTCTCTCCATCTCGCCGATGTATATGTATGTTGAGAGTAATTGCCTACACCGCACGGGCCTTCGGGTGGCAACGCATCCCAGAACACAGGATGGCCTTGACTTGATGGTCTCATCGGGGGCGCGTCTCTCCTCCGCCTTTACGACCCCCCCCTCTTGCTACTATCCAAGAGCCTCCGGGCGTTCTTGATGGCCTCTTGGGTATTGCGTCTATCCACCTTACGACCTGTGCCTTCCTAAAGGCTGGATATTCTTTATGGTGTCGTGGGGACGTCCCTCTTCCTATTATCCCTGAGCCTGAATGTTCTTGATTGATGTAGGCTCGCCGGGAGTGCGCCTATATCCTTACGAGATGCATGCCCCTTCTTCGTTCTATCCCTGAGCCTGGATATTCTTGATGATCTCGTTGAGATTGCTCTGCTCCGACGCCAACCGCTTCTCGAGGTAAGACTGCTTGGACTGCGTGCATAGACGAGAGAGAGAGAGAGAGAGAGAGCCAGGTGAAACAGGGGGCCACGCGGACGAAGAGGAGCGAAAGGGGGGGGGGGCATGGGATCACCAATGACCGTGTGACAAAAAGAAACACAAACCATGCCGGAAAATGTTTCCGTAGGAGGCGGAGAGATGGCGCCACCCCTAGACCGACTTTCAAAACTCGATTGCTCCACACACCAAGACTGTGCCAACACCAAAAAATGGTGCTTGTTGGAAACATCCTCATCGAGGGCTTTCCGTAGAATTATCGGGCTTTTTCCCGCACCCCCTTGGTTGTGGAACAATCGAGCTTTGCCTAGGGAGGTGCCATCTCTCCGCCTCTTACGGAATACCACGGTACGGTATACGGTACGGTACAGACAATCTTGGTCGTGGAGTAATCGAGCTTTGAAAGTCAGCCCAGGCCGTGTGCCATCTCTCCGGCTCTTGTAAACGAAGCGAGAGAGCAAGGAGGCTATTGTGCATACGATGACACAAAAATTGAAATGAAAAATTGGGTGCTGGTGGGGATTCTACTGAAAAACATTTAGGAACAGGTAAGGCAAGAATATCGCAACAGCCCACCTCCTTCTTGAGCCTAGTCCCGTACTAGATACTCGATCCCCAACCTTTCACGGGGCCACATTATAGTGATGGGACATCGAGCGAACGCTAGACGCAACAACAACAATGCCGAGGACGACAACGACAACGACAACGACAACGACAACAACAACAACAAACAACGACGATGGGTGCAGGACAACACACTCAACCAAAACAGCAGTGGAGTGCATTTGTTGGCTACCTGCAGCTGTGTCTCCGACTTGCTCTTGTCCTCCTGCTGTGCGTCCAACAGAGCCGTGATCTCCTCCTTTGTTTGCGACAAGAACATTTTCCCTGGCCGAAAGCAGCGGCAGGATAGTATTTGGAAGCGGTGCACGAGGATGACAAAGTCAACGACCTCGTTGGATACACCGGGGTGTCCGATTCCCGAGAGCACGGTAGATATCGTACCTACACAACGCCGGGAACGCTATCCTACACAACGTGGTTTGAGGTTTTAACTTGACAAAACGCGTTGACACGAACAGAGTGGGGAAAACACTTAGACAGAGCGGTATCCGATAGTGCCATGCCGGCAAAGGGCGCATTCCTTCTTACCCCACGCTGGCTCATCCTGAAAAACCGTAGCGTGGGCCGGCGAAAACCCGGAATATCGCTCCGTCCGGCCTTGTACTGTCGGGATGCGAGGTCAATGGCTTAACGACTACGGCATGCACGACTACGAGTACACCCCCCCCCCCCCCCTCTCCCCGGTGTTTGCCATCGGGGTTGGGTTTTCGTCGCTTGGCAGCGACGTTGTAAAACAAGCCAATTCACTTCGTGAACTCGGCAACCAGGTTACCGTTTTTTTTTTTTCCTATGTTTTTTTTTGGCGGTAACCGTTATGGTGGTCGAGTAGATCATGTTGTGCGGGGTCCAGAACCCTCGCTCCGCGCAAGGGGGATGATCGCACCACGTTGTGTTAAAATGGTCAAGCATCCTCGAGGCAGTTACACAGTGCTTATAACTGTCTCTGGAAGTGAAAGCCCCAAAAAATAAATTAAGTCATACGCCGCTGCCATCCGTACCCAAGGAAGGAAGCACAAGATGCTGAACACCCTT